TCGCGTCGGGCAGCGCAGCCAGGAGTCCGACCCGCCTCGCACCTGCAAGGGTGTCTCAGCGCTTTAATTCAGACAAACTGGGGAGGCCCCAGATGTTTCTAGGAGAAGTTCACAGCATCAGGTGATCCCGACTGAAACCTAATTTCTAAGATATCTCTTGGCCCTGGACAGCTAGGATGGCTGCTACATGGGGCACTTTAAGCCCTGTGTTTAGATACTATAGTGACTGTGTACAATACCTCTGATAAGTATGGAAATAATCCTGGATGTCCCAAGGCAATGGTTATTTTACTATTTTCCCAGAAGCCACGCACTGTGGCATTTTACATTAGTATCTGTTCTTGATTACTGCAGTAGAATAACAGCCTTAACACCCATTACTATATTTTTCCAATCCCAAATTGTAGAGCCATGGGGAAGTCAGGCTGGAAGGGGCCTGGAGAGGTCATTTAGTCCAGCCCCTCGCCTGAGGCCGCATCATTCCTATCCAAACCATTTCATACAATCCATAATCTAAACCCTACATCAGACTACCGGCAATCTGACACAACACAGACCTAACAGCCTAACCTGCCACAGGTAGCGCAGGGGAATCACGGCAGCCAACGCCCCGCTTGTGAAATGTCAGTGTATGCTCAAGAGATCCTGGGTTGAGGGCCATGCCCCCGCTACAGGAAGGCAAAAACTGCAACAGCCGATACCAGTCTGCCCATAGGGGAAAATTCCTTCTTGATCCCAAATATGACAACCTGACATTTAAGTCAACCACGTTTTCAAATTCAATTTTTGGGAAAAATACCTTTTCTCTTGAATATAAATTGATAACTACCAATAAAGACCTTGACCTGATTCCACAGGAGAATTTTAGCAGCAAAGACCCCAAGGGTTAAATGGACGCTACAAATCCTAAAATAAAAACTACACCAAAATATAATTCTGATTGGATTTTATTGCATTGCAAAAATAGGGCAAGTGCAAAAGTCAAGAAAGTTAGGGGCCCAATTACAGGCCAATCCCACGTACAAGTTGAGTGTGATTTTTACATTCTTTTGTAGGGAAACAAGGTGGATGTACTGGGATGATGTAACATTTAAAATATGTACTGGCTCTGTGTTGTTAATATCTGGGACAGGCAGCAGTTGAAACCTTGATGCTCTTATGAACTGCATGAAGTTGTTCTGCTTCTCTGTAGCTTGCTGCAGGATTTAGGTAGCTCTTGTTTTGTTGCAACAGGGCAGTTTACACAATAAATTAGAAGATTAAAAGGAAGAGGCATAATTTAGACGCAATCTAACGTGCCATAAATGGGTGTTACAGTAAAAGAAAAACGAAAATTATTTTCTTTATGAATTTAAAACTGCCCCTACTGTGTTTACAAACAGGCTCATTACATCAGTTTTCTGATTGAGATCCAGACAGTAAATCTGCTGGGTTTATTTCCTCTAAGTGGAGGCCAACAGAAAATGAAACCCTGTGGTGAAAAGGGCATAGCACAAAACATCTGTTTGAATCATATGAAGGCATTAGCAGCATAAGGGAATTTATTGCTGCATTTAATTTGATGGGGTCCCTTTAAATAAATACCTCAACTCTTTTTCTGTAACCAAACTGATAAAATCTTTGGCTTCTATTCAGTCATAAACATAATGGAAAGCAAAACTTGCCTCTAATGTTTTTTCCAACCTTGAGTAAAACTTGCATAAATATTCCTGGGCACATGTTGATGATTTCCGCCCCCTTCCTCCCACCCCCCTTTTTTCTGCAG